CTCTGATTGGTTGACGCGTCGAGCTGCAAAAGTTCAGATTTTCTAACTTCAGCGATTTGCGCATCAAGCACGTCGAACGCTCAGATCGTTCAAATCGCGCTGCTCTAATCGCGCTTGAGGCGCCGCAGCACTTCCCAACGCTGATTGAAGCGCGTCCACCATAGACTTTGTATGTAAACCTGATGTTCGATGCTCCTGATGCTGAAATCGCGTTCGGTGTGAACGCAGCATAACTACTGGTGCTCAGTGTGTTTCAGTTTCGGTTCTGATCTCAGATAAACTTCAGGTTAAAATCTGGTTTTCAGTATTCGTGCGTCATAAAATACAGATTTTATGTTGTTTTTGTAATGATTGGGAAAACGAGTTTAACAGATTTGCCAGACACCTGAATAGTTTTAAAGATYTTATTAAATTACGAGCAGCTGGAACTGGTGGGACACGTCAACGGGATCTGGAGCTCTACACAGGAGAGAATCAGGTTAGTTGCTAGGTCGTGTAGGGGAACTGATTGAGAGATTTAGCAGCTAACCTTCTTAGGATGCATGGAGTCCGAGAAGAACTCTTAAAAGACTTTGAGAGTCTGGGTCGTAAAGCGGTGAGGTCACTTCCGGGTTGTGGACTTGAGGCGAGTTTGTTACTCGAGGGGAATCCGTGAAACAGGCTTGGGTCATACACACAAGATCAGAGGTAGCAACCAGGTTTACAGGAGAGGACTTAACTCTTTGTCGAGGTACACAGGCGGGAGTCAGGATCCAGGAGGCAGATGACTGAACAGGTCCGACAAGGGCGAAGACAAGAGGCAAAGGTCCAGAGGCGAAGGCGGAGGTCAAAACCAGGAGATCAGAATCCAATACGGTACCGTTCAGGGGCAAGGTGGGAGACATGAAACCAGAGAGCAGGACCAGGGTCATAACGAGGCAGGCAAGACGTGACATGAAGAGTGCTGGACAACTACTAGAACTGTTTGCTAATCTGGCGCTGGTGCTGTGGGAGAGTGGAGCTTACTGAGGAGAACAGGTGAGTGGAATGACGCTGATTGCTGTGATGAGAGGTGAGGGCAAAGAGGTGATAATTGACTGTGACAGGATTTGGCAGTAAACAGACGTGATTCATGACAGTTTTAATAATACCAAGAATTTAGTAAATGCAGTTTTGAGTGGTTCTTTTACAAAATTATCCGAGTGGAGTACCCAAGACCCCCCGAGAACTGCTTCATTCCACAGCTGCTCATTAACACGAACAGGTGTTTCTCATTGTTGTCAGCAAGTAATGGCAGGTATGAGGTTGACTTCTTGCATTCTGTTTTAGATTATATTGTTAAGKATTTATCTTTGGACAAACTGGTTTCTATAGATAAAAAACATCAAAAACAAAACTATGTATGTAATTTACCGTACGTAAAACTGGTGTAAATTAAATGTACATATATTGGCAGAGAGATTTAGAAAATAGAAAAGTGGTGCCACCTGAATAGGGCACCAAATCGGCTTGGGCCAACCCTGCAACAAGCTCACCCTCATTTGAGTCTCATTGATTTTCTACACAACTGAGTTCTGCCTCGATGTAGGCAGGATTGACACCAATACCACGTTTTTTAAATTACAACCAAAAAGGTAGTGGTTTTTGGTCAAGTCAYGGCCATGGGTAAAAGGCAGAATCTTTATTTGTGGATGTGACTGCTTTCACATTCTCTACACAGTTAAATCACCATCAATTGCATTATRCAGTTAATTACAGAGGATTATTTGGTTATAGCAGCAGCAGCAGCTAGCTGTAGCATTTGTAGGGCAGCCTGGCATATTTCTGGTAAGAATATATTTCTGTTGGAATAATCAGATTGTGGTAATAGCATGAATCACAATTCAAACGTTTTAAGCAGCAGCGACCCATTTTGTCTTGACCCTGTTCTGATCAGCTGAGTTWATCATTCAAAGAGTTTATTTAAAACAAGAGAAAAGTCAAAACTTTCTTGGTTCTGTTACATAGTTTTGACACTAAATGTTTGCAAGTCGAAAACAAAATATATTCAAAAGCATTTTTGACAGCATTTTCAGGAAGGAAAAAAATATGCAACTGCCCTGAATGCACAATGACTTGAAGATGCACTCTTAAGCAAAAAATGGTGTTGCTTTTGACCATTTAAAATTAATTAGTGTTCTGTTTTGTTCAGGCTTCATCAGAGGATCAGGGGAAACTGGAGAAAGAAGGGTCACCAGGTCTTTGTGCTGGTGCTTCATCTTTAGTTTGACAAGCACCTCTGCTTTCACTGGCGCCTGTAAAGAGATGATGACTTCATTTTTTTTAATGCATAATGGGCTTCAGAGACTGATTGCATCGTCTGAAATACTGGCTGTTGTGCAATAACAAAAACTGAGAGAAGTAAGAGACAAGAAAACAAGAAATATTTTATTAATGTAATATGAGGTAGTCTATCAGCTGTCTTTTATTGCATTTTACCTTAAATGAAATAACCAAGGTGAAAAAAAGCATAAATACAGACTTGTTTTCAGCTGTCTTTTTGAAAGGTAGAGATGTAAAAAAAAAAAAAAAGGTATGAAATTATCCAACACCTTTGCTGGTAAACATTGAGATTCAATAAGATGGAAAATATGAATAAATAACCATAAAAACGAACGTGCTTAATGCAACATTTTATCTTTTGGTTTTGAGCTTTTCTCCACTTCACCTTCATAAAAACATATAATCACATTATTGCTATCTTGGTTAAAAATTATGAGATTTTTAAGGCTGTTAGTTTTCTGGGTTTAGATTAGATGTTGACGTTATTAAGGGAAGACTGAGGTCTAAAGGTAGCGTGAATGTGTCTGTTTATGTGAACCGTACTGAGCCTAAATTTACAYGATAAACTCAAAAATTGTATTTTGTAGTTATTTCAATAAGTGGCATTATTATTGCATGATATGTGAAATTCATTCAAAACTTTTTTAGAAGCCTGGTAAACAAATATATTTGCAGATAAATAAAGAAATGTTTTAGTAATAATTGACCACTAGTTTTTAATTATATGGTGTAGATAACTCACTTAGATTATTTTTAAATTGTAAAAATAAAAAAATAAAAAACTTCTTAGGCAAAGTATTGCAATTATACAGACAAGTAGGCAATTATACATTTCTTTTATGTTATTAAAGCACATGAGGGAATTTAGGCCTAAAGCTAAAAAACATTTTGGTTCAGACCAATTAGACCAAGTTTGAGTGTTGTAGCAAACAGCAGGGATCCTCTATGAAGATATCATCAATTACGCAAAACCGGTTGCCTTTTTTTAAAGCAGTGAAAGCTTTTCTCAGAAGTAAATATATTTTTTTACTCTTTTCCTGTTTGATGTGTTGATGGGTTCATTTGGTTATATGACCCGATTCACTTAGATGTTTTTTTCTAAATTAGATTTTCCCCCAAATACTCAAGTTTTGGATTGATTTTTTAACTTCTGGTTGAGTTTACAGCCTTCTACAGTATGTACAGTATGAGGGCTGTATGTGTTAAAAGGTAGCATGATAAAGGTAATATGTAAGGGATCCTGCTGGAGTCACATTCTAGCTTCATTAGCTGTGATGTGTAGTGTGCTGCCGCAGTGGCAATAAGTCACCCTTGTCTTCCTCAGAGGCAGTCCTGCTCGCTGTTCACCAGATTCACACCAAACTCATTATAGAGGCTCTACTCAATGAGAAAAAGCAGGTTATCCAGTTAGAAGAACTCATTTTTCAGGAGAAACAAGAAAAATCTGAGGCCAAATTATCCAAACGCTACAGCACTTCACATATATTCCGAATAAGAAGTTTTTTTTCACCACTCAGAGWGGGAAATATTTAGAAATCCAGCTCAAAACAGCAAAGGAGTAAAAATAGAAATACTTTGATCATTCTTAAGATGCACACTGTGCCAATCACTATCCAAACAGGCAAAAACTTTGAGCGTTGTGTGTTCGCTGTGTGGGAAGTGGTTGGGTTCAAAACAGCTGCACAAAAATGCTCTTTCATCTCTCAAACGCCATCAATACCTTCAAATTTACTCTGATCAAAACAAGCAAAAAGGAAAAAAAAAGGAAAGATGAACATCCCACATGCATGCAAAGATAGATAAAACATTTGGTGCAGAATCTTTATTAAAAACCAAAGTTAAAAAAAAGGCTGATGTAACTGGTTGAACATCAGTCATTTAGGACGGACAGGTTTTCACAGGTGAACTGAAAGCTCATCTGTGCTCTCAGCTTTTAAAGTGTCTGCAGGTGTCACATTGAAATAGCTAATGTGCTGAAATTTTAGCACCTCGTTGCCCCAACTGGTCCATCCGGGCTGAAGGCTCCGTGCAAACAGCTCCAAACACTTGGCCTCAGCTCCGATGTAAGGCTTCAGCACCTCTGTGACAAAACAAAAGGAGAAGAGAGGACGGTTATGATAAAACCCTAAAAACATGAATGCTAATCACTGTGGGTGTTTGGTCACTTAAAGATGCRAACAAAACCAAATGTATGTTTGTAGTGTGAGTAAACTCTCAACAGAGTGTGATGTGATGGTTCACACCGCCTCATGGCAAAAATCACAAATGGAGCATTTTTATGTGAAAAATAGTCTCCCTGACCCTCCGTGAGTTTTCCTCACGAACTCTGGGTCCTCTATTCCTGCCCAAAACATAAATAATAGATTGATTGGCAAACCTAAAATGGGCCATGATTATAGGAGAGAGTGTGATTGCCTACATTTGGTTCCTGCGGGTGCAGAGATGCTCTTTCAAAAAAATGCAGACAGCAAAATATTCAGGTACAGCACTTGTAGCTTAACCAAAAAAGAAAGTGGAGCCCGAGTGTCAAAGCTTAAAATAAAACCCCTCAGTTGCATTCGATCCTGACATTAACATTGGTTCCCGATCCCTCCTACTATATGTGATGCCTGATTTGTGAACTGAAGCTTCCTCCCTCTTGTGAAGGTTCATTGACAGTCTTCACACCCACAATGTAACACCATACTGTTGTAAAAAAGGCTGCAKGTTAAGCTACAGGAATAAAAGTTTGCAAACTCTGCGTGGCTCATATTTTATTTATTGCAKCCTGGCTTTTTTTGAAAAGAATTCAATTGTTTAATTACCCGCTTTGCTTATGGTCAGTTCATTCTAACACAGTATTTAGCAGGTAATTCAATCAACTATGACTTATTATCAACTGTAATTTCATTGTGCTCTGTACAATGACAACAAAGGTCTATCTTATCTTATTTTATTATCTGTTGATATTTGCTCTTAATGTGTTTTTTTTTTTTTTGGGATGGGAGTTCTTGATCCTGTATAATGGGCATCAGACAGAGGTGGCGGCTGCCCAGGTCCTTCACAACACAGAACAGGATTTTCCAGTGTGGAGACTGGTGGTGACCTTGGCTTTATAAGTGCTAATATTCCAGGAGAGACACACCTGACAGATACGTTTCACTTCCTCTGCCCGTGCCCCTCGGCTCAGCCAACACTCAGCGAGTTAATGAGCTCAAAAGTCTGATACCAAAACCGATCGAACTTGTACAGGTACTGCAAAAGTCTACTCTCCCCCCACACACCCCTTTCTATAACTGTCAGAGAGACAGAGCTGCAGTGTGGAAAGGCCAAACATATAGCTACACAACTAATTCATCTTCGACTGGTGACTCAGCTCTCAAGCTGTGATGAGAGTAAAGGTTTAATTATCTTCTTAAGTTTGAAATGGGACAAGGGTGTCAAAGTCCCGGCAAGAGACCCCAAAGGAAAAGGAAGACATCACTGCTGAAACTATTTCTGAACCATTTTAACTTGGTGGAACGGAGACATTTTGCCCTTAAAACAGAGTGCTGGGATCAAAATGTTACTGTTGTAACTCGGTTTGGTTAGACAGGATGTTTCAAAGTAACTCCACATAAATGGCAGAACCTAATTACACCAAATGATTGCATTGATCCATCTTTCATAAATGGCAAATGGTGTTGAAAAACGCAAAAAATTAACAAAAAGATGTGTGAAACTGTTTTTAAAATAAAAAAAAAGGACTTTGGAAATTTGCAAACCAGCTAAATATACAACACATTGTCATGATTCATGGGGATCCAAGAGAAAAACCATCCATTGCTGCATTTGACAGAAGTTAAAAAATAATAAATGAATAAAAATCTTTCCCGTTGACTGGTTTGAAACTGTCCACAGTAGACAGAGTGTGGTGGTAAAGGTTACTTTGCTTGTTTTCTGTAATGCAAAAAAAAACTTCAATGTGAGGAGAACCACAGGGGGAAATGAAAAGTGTTTTTTTTTTAGGAATTATTTTTGATTTAAAAGTCAATCTGTCACTGTCAGTTTATTTTATCCTTACTGAAGTTGACCAACCCAGACTGTTTTCATTCACCCTAAAACTCATCTTTCACAAGTCAAAAAGTGAGTGCATAAGCATTTATGCACTCACTTTTTTTTTAACTTTCACTATTTTCTTTTAGTTGTACTTACCTAAATTTTCAGTAATAAAACAAATCACGATAAGTGCATGAGTGTGCAGCTAACATTATTTAAGACACACATTTAAGGCAGCTGTAGTTATGTTTACATGCACAAAATTTTTTGATCGGATTGAAATGTATTCGGATTAAGTAATCCGAATGTACTGTTTACATGGACACAATCCGATCATGACAAGTGTTTACATGTACCGGACTATTATTCAGAATAAAAGTCCGGACATGCGCAGTGTTGTAAACTTTCAGCTCTACTTCCGTGTTACAAACGTAAATAAAGCTCTTCTTTGCACTCAGGACGGACCCGTGTCAGTTTTTAATAATGGTACAGATGTCATTACTCCCCGGTTGAGCTGCAGATGAAGCAATACATGTTTTTTAGTTTTATTTTTTGCGAAGCAACGTCTGCTGTTTGTCTCCTTTTTCATCTATTAAGAGAGCGTGGAGGAAAAGTTCTGCGCGGCGCAGCGCAGCTGGAGYGCTGCTGCCCCGCCTCCTCTAAAGAGCCGAACCTGGTGGATGAAAGTCAGCAGACCTGCGCACTCAGGTCAGTTTTCTACAATCAGAATAAGATGAGCCGATTAAGTGTTTACATGAACGTCATTCCGATTTTCAATCGGAATAACCCACCCCTCTCATTCAGATTAAAAATTCATTTGGATCAGAATAATCTGAACGGGCTGTTTACATGACACATTTTTATCCCGAAYGGCCGTTTAATGCGATTACTTATGTCCATGTAAACGTAGCGAGTGATGCGAMACGCTGCCGGGCGTTTACACAGATAAAAATGAAATTAGCTTTGCACAGTGCTGTACACGTTGTAGTTACATACATGCTCCTCAATAAAAATATAAAATAAAACTACATAAATGGCATTGCGCTTCTTTAAAGTAATTTTTCATGCATTAAAAAAACATGGAGTCCTGTAATTATAAAGACTTGAAGTGCAAAGACTTTTTTTGTTCCTGCTGCTTTACCATCTGGCAAGGATCGTATCTGTAATGGAGTAACGCTGACTCTTATCTTCTCCATAGCAACCGAGCATGTCAGTGACAGGCGCTCCATCTGAGAGGGCAACACAAGTGGGTCAGAACGTCTGTGCGCAGTGGGCTCGAGTGCCGTGGCTTCACACCACCCAGCCTGCCCAGAGGCTCGAGCAGACCGCTACACTGAGAAGTGCAGCAGACATACAAAGGTGATGTTTCGGATGTGAAACGGAAGCTCAGGCTGGATAACACCAGAGGTCTGGGGCCACATTCAACATTTTTTTACTGGGTATATTTTTACACAGTAATTTGTATTCTTTATTTTACATAAACTTTTAATTAACTTAATTAATCAGTAAATTATTGGGATGTTTTATTAAGTTGTTTTTAACATGTGAWGTTTGTTTTGATTTCTGGAGCTGATTTTACCCACTTCGGTTATTGCACYATAAAATTAGGGGTGTAAGAAAATATCGATACACTGAAATATCGAGATATTTCATTTCCCGATACTGTATCGATTATTCTAAAGCCCTGTATCGATTTTTGATTAAGGTTTAAAATGTCAACCTTCTTGCCAACCGTTCATTTTTATGTTGTAGTTCAGCCTCTGAMCACTAGTTGGCAGCAGTGAGCCAGCCATTTGGCTCCTCTACTTCTTGAGCGCCAGAGAGTAAGGGTAGTATTAGCATTGTAAGTAAACGTTAGCTTTTCTTTCTTTTTTTTTTTTTCCAGTAAGAGGTTTTAATTTAATAGAATTTTTGGACAAAAAAAATCGCAATATATCACAATATAYTGCCTTGCTTACAGTATCGCAATATRTCGGGATATATCGTATCGTGACCCCTCCGTTATGATATGTATCGTATCGCCAAATTCTTGCCAATACACAGCCTTACATAAAATGCCACCTGTCTATCATATCACAAGAATCAGAGCTTTCCAACAGGACACCAGATGTACACCAAACTGTAAAAACATGAGAACAGCTGATGAGTTCAGGCGAGCTGACGGGTTACAAACTTCCTTTGTTTTGGACATTGTGCTGTTCAACAGTTGCCTACTTCAGCAAGTTCAGGATAACAATGAGTGTATGATCATAAATTATATTATGTCACTTAATTAAGCTTCATTAATTATTAGAAAATAACTCCTTGATAAAAGTGACTCAGATGTRTTTGAAACTCCATCATTTCGTGGACGGATGTGGCGCAGCTGTAGAGMAGCCGATTTGGTCTGACCCTAACCAGAAACATGCTCATATGTTGTGGTATCTTTGAGCAAAACACCTATTCAGCATAATCCATATACCTCAATATRCAAAATGTGCAATATTTWAACAATGTGCAATAATGTTGTTTAACTTTCTTCTACTGTAGTTTCACATTTACAACCGACTCTCACTGTGCTTTTTTATGTGCCTTTTTTGTTTTTCTATGTTGTATATATATGTAGGTAGGTATATGCACATTTATATACATGTATACATGCTGATATATAGGCATATTTAGCTAATTTTATCCTGTTACTCTATTCTTTTCTATTTCCATTAATGTGTATTTGCACTACTGTGGGAGTGGCTCTCCTCTCGTTATGAACGCGTGTAATGACAATAAAAGCATTCTATTCCATTCTATTTTTTTCTATTCTATTCTATTGTATTCTATTCCCTAACTGCTCCATGTGAAGCTTAAATAGCTGCCCACTGCTCCACTTGTATCTCACATGTGTGATGGAACAAATGCAGAGAACAAATTTTGCCTTTGTATACATGCAAAGATGACAAAACACTTGTAATGAATTCATGTGACCGTATTTCATAGTGATAAAAATAACACATGAAGAGATTCTTTTACCATTTTCTCATTGGTTATGACTGCAGCTGAGTCACTACATGTTGCAAAATTCCGTACACCTAAATGAAGTTAATGTTTTGTGAGCAACACGTCCCACTATAAAAGAAAATCCCAACATCAGCAAATAAACGAACCGGAAAAAACAAACCAGTTGTGAAGAAACCTGCTGAGAGTCAAACAAAGACGCAAACATGCAGCACAGACTCGGGCTGTTTCCTAATCTCCTTAATCTCTATGGTATCACAGCTCCACACAGGTATCATTGTGATTTAAATCAATGMATTTAAACAATATCCAACTACTTCTATGAGGCAGGGGCTTTTCTGTGCAGCTGAAAGGGCACCAGCAAAACGCCGTCCGTGTGTTGCTCCCCATGCTGCACAATGAATTGTGTTCCCCTGGGAGGGAATGAAATGACGTCAAGCCTCCCTTATTCTTAGTCCCTGCATATTCATTGTCAAGGTCTAACATCAATTCTGCGGAGCAGAGAAGATGCTGGAGTCAGGGTGAGACAATTTTGATACATGAATAATAAAAGTTTTGCACCTTTGACAAGTCAGCCCTGTCAGGTTCAACGCTTGCTATTATAGAAAATAATCAAAATACAAAAACAAATCCACTAATTGCTTTATTCATCTTATTCAGTCTACCTCCAGTGGCCGTATTTGCAAAATATATTGTTTCAGCTGTGGAAAAGATAGTTCATTTTAACTTAAATTAATCTATAACTTATTACTAAACATACAAATTCAGTGTCTATAAGTTTGTGTGTAGGAATTTTAAGAACTGACTTGGGCTTAAGAGCCATTACTGTGATGAGAAACAGCACTTAGATRGTATCTCTGACCCTACATAATGAGATAACAATCAGCGATGTTGCAGCATTGCCCTCTAGTGGCCAAAAGAAGCAGTGCAGTCAAAGATTCACCTGATAGTGAGGGCTTCTGRGAGTGCAGGGCTGAGGGGACGCTGACAATCAAACGCTTATCTTCGATCTCTGGCATTGTTGAAGACCTGAAGCAAAACAAATATGACCTGGGGTCATTCCATCTTAGGGTTTTGTCATTTATAAACGCCAAACAAGTCACTTAGTCCCAATTCAGTGGCTGCAGCCTTCTTAGACCGCAACACACGCAGACCACACCCTTCGCAGTCTGGGTAGGTAGTGATACAATTTGTGTGACATAAGCAGCCAACAAATGCAGAMTTCAAAAGATGCAGCCCCTGAATTAAGACACAGCCTTAGAGAAGTCATTACCTTGTGGGGGTACTGGTAGAACATCGACCCAGCACCAGCATCTCATAGGGCTTCTTGTGCTGTGAATCGGGGGGAAACACAAACTGCCCAGATGTGGTGACCTATAGGGAAAGAAAAACCTGACAGAGTCAGAATGATGCCAGTTTGTGAGATTTCCACGACTGAGAGTTTTATCAGTTAGACGTCCTGTACCTTGACCCAGAACCACTTGGCCACAACTTGTACACCCCAGTGTGGATACAGTTCATCACAAACGAAGCGCAGGTGGTTGGGCCGGTTTGTCACCCAGGTGACCACTAAACAGCCTGAAGATGCCAGTTGTGGGATGGGGAGGCGTTTCAGTTGTGTTGAAGGYAAAAAGCTGTACCTGTAAAGAATATAAAACAAGTAAATAAAATTACTAACATTATGATGTTAGCAATGTTTAGCAATGTTAACTACTTCAATTACATCGTTGGTGCCGTACTTTTTCTTTTTTAAATTGAAAAATTTTAACAAATACCGGATGAAATTTTTWAATTAGATTTAATATATTTAATTTCTGTCTTGAGCTGCTCAGTTTTCACTAATATTTTCACGTCTGTGTTACACACAGTAKAAACTTTTGTATAGATTACAAATTATTTGTTCTTTATTTAGCTATACTGGGAGGCCATAAAGTATTTACCTACTATCCAATCGGTAGGTGATTAATTTAGTTGCCATTGCTGACATCAACTTAAAACACCATAGTGTTGTTTTTAATGCAATGTTTATTTATTGTACACCAAATGCTGTGGCCAACATTGCTTAACTTTTAARACCTCATCATTTTAATTTCTTAAATATTGGTGTTTGTTCCAGACTTCAAGCTTCTTTCGTTTTGGTTCATGTGTTCTGATTTTTAAAAAAAATAGTTTTATTTTATTTTTTTTTGCTTTGCAGTTAGTAAAATGAGTAAATATCAAATTACCTGCGACTCCTTTTCACAGATTTGTTTTCCCACGGTGGATCGATAACAATAAGATCAAACCTCCTTCCATCTGATTAAGAAACAAAGAACTTATTAGCAAACAGTGTCAGACTAYAAGAAAAAGCTTTTTCATTCTACAGATTTTTATCGTTAATTCTGGCAAATGACAAATAAATTGCCACTTTTGTTCCTCGCCAAACAGATTCACCAGAAGCATAAAGAATRTGATTTGTCTAACTTACACTGGACTAGTGGTTGCATTCTTGTGAAATCAGAAATCAGAAAAGCTGTATTAGGAGGTATGACATACTCCTCTCCCATCAGCGTAACCACTGCGGCCCAGTCCTCCCTGTTCTCTGTCACCTGAGAGAACAGGTCAACATGTGAAGAACAGCCATCTTCAGTAACAAGTAGCTGAACGCACTCCTTCTGCTCCTCGTCGTCTACTAGAGGAAGCTCTTTCGCCATCTCGCAAAGAGCTGCAAAGCTGCATTCCTGGGAAGGAAGAGGCTCTTTGACTGCATCTGTCTCTCCAGTGAGGTATCCAAGGGATTGGGCAGAATCCACCAAGAGCTTGGTTCCCTCCAGAATAACAGACTCGATCTGTGTTGAGGCACATTGTGAACATTTAGCTGCTCTGAATACTTTCTGCAATTTCTTTTTTCCAACTGTTAAAACTTGTTTTATTTGATTCATGCTTTCTGTTCAGACGTCAGAGGATTTAATTTCTGGCATCACAAATAYATAAAAAAATTAATAAAGAGATGGTTTATTTACCTTCTCGTGGAAGGCCTTTGAATCGATTTCCCCTTGGTTGAGTTCACTGTGTTTTCGCTTACGCTTCTGTAAGATATTTAAATACCATTAAACAAAAACATTACACCTAGTGAAAATACTACTAGAGGGAAAGTTATTCAAAACTTTAAAAGGACATCTCTAAAACCAAAACGTTTAAATAACTGTATTACAATGTACATATCGGCAGAGGTTTATAAAATCTAAGTACATTTACTTTGTTAGTTTCGTGACTTTTACCCTTATTGTTACTTTTAAAACCTAAAAATGATACTTTTACTTCTTTACTTTAAAGTTTAACACCTAGTTGCTCATTATAAATTTAATCTGTCTAAACTCATCATGAAAGGAGTTGTTTGTGTGTTCTAAAAATAAGTGTTGAATTTCAACCAAATCATGTCAAATATTTCCACTAAACCTAGTAGAATAAATCTGAGGCAGTATACATATTTTATTTTAAAGAAATTGATCAATTTACTCAACTTGGTTTTGTGGAGCCAGTTTGGTTCAGTGAATTTAACAGTTTATTTGTTAGAGAGCGTGGAAAAGTAATTTTTTTACTTCTACTTTCCCCAATTTTTGTTAAACAGTTTTATGACATTTACTTAAGTACTATTTTCATCAGTGACATTTGGTTTTGCCATTTTCTGTCAAGGTATTTTTACTTTAACTTAGTTATTTTTTTCAAGTACTTTATAGACCTCTGCATATCAGTTGGTATGCTAACCCTAAAGAATATTGTTTATCAATTATTTAAAAAAAATAAAAATAAAAGTAATTTCAGTCATTTCAAATTTTCCAAAACTGACATCTTTATTTAACTATGTGTTAACATATGAATTATGTGCTCAGAAAGTTTATTATGTGAAATCCTTTACAATAAAATGCGTTTTGTGTATAGAAAAATTAACTATTACATTGTTCACCCAACAGACAGGAACTTTTAGGGAACATTCAAACAAGTTTATCTAAAACTTGTAACATGGAAGATTCATCTAAGCTGATGGCATTTAGGGACAACACAACATGTGAACGTTACAATACAACAGGAAAGCAGGTTTAGCAGGGTACTGATAATAATGATGTTTTACCTTTGTTGGTTTATCTGTTTTTTCCAGCACATCAGTGTGTTCTCCTTCCAAAGAAGCACAGCCACTATGGTTATAATRGCTTTTTATGATCTGAAAACACCGCCGTTTAAAACTACACTTCACATGTGACTTATTACTGCCTGTCCACCGGATGCACTGCTGATAGCCACGGTCTATTAACGAGCCTGAGTCCAAAACCCAACCTGAGCTGCGTTGAAGCACCACGGACATGACGCTTTCACAACAAATTACAACAACATGCTGTTTTTTCTGCTGGTAGAACACACTTCATAGCTCATTATAGCTGTCTTCTTCTTATTCTTCTTCTATATAGGGTTTATTGGCGGTTTGCAAAAATCTTCAAGTGTGCATTACCGCCACCAACTGGATAGGAGTGTGGACTGAAACGACCTAAAATAAAACTCATGTCATATCAAATAATCGAGCTATTCTCAGATAATTAATCAAAGCTTGAGAACTATCAGAAACTAATTTTTATTATAAAATTTCAAATGGATTTAATCTAATTTTCATTTAATCAAGTCTATTAATTATTTGAGCTCTTTCATTTCTGTACAGTTTAACCAGAATATGTTCCACCGTTTCATCTTCTCCACAGTCACATTTACCAGTATCATGTTTCCCTATTAAAAACAGAGTACTGTTTAATCCTGTATGTCCAAATCTAAGACGTGATATAACTATCTCTTCACTTCTCATCTCTCCTACTTTCCTCTGAATCCTATAAAGCCATCGACCTTTTTCTTTCTTCCCATTGTTTTTGCCACTTTTCTTTCATTTTCTTTTTTATGTTACTTTTAACTTCTGTTTGACTAACTTTGACATCTATCTCAACTAAAACATGTCTAGTGGCCTCCTTTGCTACTTTGTCTGCCCTTTCATTTCCTCTAATACCTACATGWGCTGGAATCCATGCAAATATGACATTTAACCCCATCATTTTAATTCTAAATAATGTTTGTTGTATTTCTATCAAAATGTCTGGTCTACTTTCTGAAAAAATGTTTTTAATTCTAATAAGTGATGAGCTGGAATCCACAGAATAGCTAATAGTATTGCTACCATTTCCCGTGTCGTGACCTACTTCGTCGTAACCAAACCGTCCACCCCAGCCTTATGTTTTCCTTGAACGATGCCAAAGGTAAAAACGTAGCCAACAACCGGAAGTGCTAACCGCGCAGTCTGGGATGCCAGATAAGAAACGACTAACTATCGTAATTTTTAATGGCATGCGCGTAGGAAGGGTGCACTAAGGGGATGCGCTTTTTTCATTGGTTGAGGTATTCAGGTGTGTGATTTTATGATGTGTAGGCGTTTGCGTGACCCATCACACATGAGAAACACCCAAGGGGAGCAGCAGACAGCCATTACTAATTGAGGGGTTAAGGGGGTTTTGCTCGGGTGTCGAACCTGTGGCTTTCTGGACCTACACTAGCCGCATTACCACTTCCACACTGCCTGACGGAAATGGCAAAACTGTCACAAATTTGGACTTTTATGAAATTATCGTACATCGTATAAAAAGCATAAAATAATTAGCAATTATGCATATCTGGCAACATTGAACGCTGCATTCTGCCCCTACTGGCTTCCCGTAGAGACAGAGACACGCGGAAGAAAATCTCACAGCGTTAGTTTTGTTTTTGAGTGGAAATGAAACTGAAAGAATAAGAACCAGATAATAGCGCTGATACAACGCAGAGAACAGTTTCAAGCTGTTTCAAGGCGTTATGGACTGTATATAACATTTTTGCGAACTTTTTTCTCTCTGGAAACATCAGCACGGAGTGACGCGTTACGTCTTTGTGTGCTCCGTGGTAGTCGAAAAACACTACGATGATCCAGGTGTATGACTGCCGCTCCAAAAACAGCAAAGTTTCCAAGAAAACTTTGGATTCAAGTGATTTGAACTTTAATGGCTTTCTCCAAGTTGTTCACAAGGTAAAATTGCTTATTTGTCATTAAAAAAAGTCTTTGTTCCTTTAGCTATTTGGTAAATTCCATGTTGTTTAATTAAAAACACTTTCTCAAATTATCGTAAAACATTTAATTCACCTATCTAACTATGGTTCAGTGGCTGGGTCTTGTCCCCTAACCTGCACGTTTACCTACTCTAACACACCTGATTCATAATTAACTTCGTGTTGTGCAGAAGCCTGCTAATCACCCATTTATTCAGTTCAGGTGTGTTGAAGGAAAGAATTGGAAATCAGATTTACAGCGTCAAGTTATTTACCTGATGAATTTCTACTGACGTTATGGCATTAATGTAATATTTCTATCAGTAATACTAACAGTAAATTGGAAAAGGGCAAAATAAACATTCTTCCCCATTAAGGTTGGGCAATATTGGCAAAAAAAAATTAATCACAATTAATTGTGGTATTTAGCCGATAACGATTAATTTGATGATTAATCCCCTGGAGTCCCTGGACACCCTTATGTCCTAGTCACATGACCAATTTAGTGGGAAAGATTTGCTCTTTATAAAAAATTGTTCCAAATTGTGTGAAAATTACAGATTTCAGGCTAAACATCARTTRTGTTGATRGATAACTAAATTACAGAACTTTAWTTTTARTGTTCTTCATATTTGAAGCAGAGAGGAGCACTGAGCASACTGACCGGAGTAATCTCCAGTCAGTCTACCTGGTGGCATTAATGGTATTAATCGTCAAGTGCCAAAAATTAATCGATTAATGTTTTTCTGACGATACGATTATGCCCAACCCTATTCCCCATAACYATTGTGACTATTTACTAAAACTGACAGTGAAATGTTGATGTTTAGCACTTTGTGATTACAAGATACGAGCATATTGTCTTTTTCATTTGACTAAATTTGTCTTCAGACCAAAACCTCCTACATTATGGTGGACTGAAGCTAAAACATAGTTCTCACTTAAATATCTTCACATTTTGACAATACCTCTTGCCATAAGGTAGTAGTTATTTTATTGTCTTTTTTGTTGTCCTTTTTTTAAGCCTCCATGGCTCCCTAATGCAAATCARGCATGGGATATTTTCTCTGTTAGTCTAGGATAGTTTTCTGTCTAGATTTGCATGGKAAAAAATTATATAGGTGACTTGTTTATAGATTATCACGTGCAGCACTCATGCTAAATACAGTAGTTTGATATGTCTAGAACTAGTTTCTATCAGGCATTGACTTCTTACACAGATAGATTTACTAAGCTGTTCACCAGACAATCACAATACTGTATGTAACTTCCCACCAGTTTAAAAAAAATTTTTTAATTGTTCGCAGCATTATTTTTTATTAAATGAACGTAAGTTACAGTGTAATGTATTTATTGACCTGGTGCACTGATGTGTTTAAAAATAAAAAATTTTCGTGACTTCTCTGTCTCAGGATGGCAGCAGGCTGAAGGTGGTTTGCATGCCACTGGAAAGCACAAAATTACTCCCAGGTCAAAAAATATTGTTCAGTCACATTTATTCTCATTCTTTTTTTGTTGAATCCCACATCAGRTTTTGTTGATCAAAATAATTGACTTTTAAGGCTTTGAATAAAATGTCAAAGCRTTCTCTTCTGCTACAGACGTTTGCAGTCCCTTCATGTGAGACATTTGTGTTGGTCACAACTGACAGAACAGTTGTGGATCATGATAAATTTGGTGAGTAAATTCATCCTTTATTGTGCAGAACATTATAATGCAACAAATGCAAGGATGAAATAAATGTTTATTAAGGAMTTTTATTCACTGTAGAGGAGCTTCAGGATGGCTGCACCCTTTACCTGTTAGAACATGAGGACCAAGCCCTGCCAGCTGCAACTGAAGAGGACATCAAGTTTGTGCCTCATTATAATACTCTGGTCGAGAGTGGGACTTGTGAATACTTCGCTGAGGGTCAGAAATCACTGCGTGAGTGTTAAAATGATCAAMGATCTTTTTTGCTAACAGAATTTTAGCTGTTTAATTGCATAYAATGGTTTGATTGTGGCCTGTATGTGAAAGGTGCATACACGTGTGTATGTTAGTAAATAACTCAGGAACCACTGGACCAATTTCAACGAATGAATTGTTGGATGTGCATCTACTGATGATWAACCTTTGAAGTCAACCGTATTCAAGGTGGCCTGGTAAAAACCAGACCCTTGTCCTTCGCTTTGCTTCATACGAGGGTCTGGACTCTCGGCTATAGAGAAGCGATTCTTGCTGGAGGCGTGGCCTCTGCTGAAGTATAAATGATTGGATTGGTTGGCCGCGACATACAGTATGTGTGCCAGCTCCACTGTGAAGGAGGCTAAGCTAAGAAGCTAACCGGAAATCGCGTGCGCTGTAAACAACCCTACTGAAAGGAGAGAAGAACCAAGCTGAACGAGACGACTGTAAATGATAGCTGCTGCTTTGTCAGACAATTTTAATTTTATTTGGAAGCCTTATCAACACGGACTGGCTTCATTCACTTCCTCCACTGCCTTTGCTAAACTAACTAACAGACACTGCGCAGAAAATCGACGTTCTGTTCTCTGATTGGCCCAGACGAAAATTCTCCTGGAGAAATCCCAGACGGAGCAGTGAAGGGAAGCGAGAATTGAGTGGAAATGTGTAGGAAGGCAAGGGCCAGGCTATATTCAAGGTGGCTGACAGTAAAACTCAAATATGGTTCTAATTAAATCAGGTTCACAGATACTGAGCTAACATTTGATGTAGCAGCTGAAATCATTCACAACAGATACTCTAAGCCTGATTTTTGAAGTTCAATCAAAATGACCTGAATTTTGTCATTTTCCATCATGAGATGATTTTCATCTGAAATTCTGAAAAGTGGCGAGTGATAATATTCCTTCAAGAAATGCTAGGCCTTCTGTTTTTGATGTTTTTATTTGAATTTTCCAGCGTGCTCTTTTGCTGAGCTGGTAGACAACGCTCTTTCAGCCACAGCCAAAAACACAGGAGTGAGGACCATAGAGATACAAATGGTTGGTTTTGCATTTTAAATTTAGTTTACAGTGAACATGTATACATTTTGGGCCATTTGATATTAATATTAGTGAATTTTTGACTTATTTCTGCATCTTACCATCAGCTGTTTGACAAATATTTTGGGAAACCTGCCATTATTGTTATGGATAATGGCTGTGGGATGACCTCGAAGCGGCTGAATAACTGGGCAGTATACAGACTCTCTAAGTTCACAAGGGAAAATAGCAGATTTGAAAGGTTGGTTGTTTGAAATCCTCCCAGTAACACAAAATTTCCAAACTGTTTATTATGATCTCTTTCAGTTTGAAACAACCCAATCAGATTTTGTTCTTATTTTTTATGAATTTTAGTGATAAAGAGGATTATATACGTCCTGAACATGTACCTCGCAGTCTCAACAGTGATATATCGTTCTTTGGAGTTGGAGGAAAGCGGGCTGTTTTTCACATCGGAGACTCTGTTAGGGTGAGTTTTAAAACTATTTTGAAACTGTTACAAAGTTGGTCTTACTTCTCAASTTAGAAAGATTATTTTAAGAAACCTAGAATAAATTTAATAAATCTGAATCAGATGAGAAATCCAGAAAAATAAAACCAAACAATATCAAACAGCAGAAGACGGCAAATAATTATCAACTCTAAATAATCTGAAGTTAAATAAGATAAGTAGAACATTTTTATTTTAGTTGAGTTATTTTTACAGAAGCTGGTTTTAACAGGTGGAATGAGATAATTATAATTTTAAAAATCTGAGTAATTGTAAGAATTGTTTTAATTAACTTAATGCACAGTGAAATCGTCTGTGTGAACCTATAAGACAGATTAAATCACATATTATCTGTAAATATCAGATGATCAGCAAACCAACAGGCTCCCCAGATGTTCATGAACTGGTTCTTTCAAAAGAAGAYTTCAAGAGAAAAGAACAAAACAAAGAGGATGTTTATAAAGGGACCATCTTAAACAGAAAGGTAATGTTTTTTTCTTCTTAAAACTGCTTGACTAGATGAAATTAATAACTGATAAACGTGATGAGTGAGTCTSGGTGTATTTTTTGTCTTCTTTTTGCAGCCTGGAGACTTTTCCCACGTAACAGATGATGAGCGTTTCCTCCGTGCCATCATTGCTAAGGAAACTGAAAATGAAAGTTTCACAGCTGTTGTTATTACAGGAGTCTGCCCTGAGCACATTGACTACCTGAAACAACACTTTGATGATTGGACCAGAGAGCTAGCGTGAGCTCACTCACTCACATCATATACTGTATATTCCAAAACTTTTAATGTTTAAAGTGTAAGTCATGGTAAGATGCTTTTYCCCCCTTGTTTCAGGCACATTTATCACTATTACATTCATGGAGTCAGTGGAAATGACTTGAGAAGCACCAACCGAAAAGTAGATGAGCTTCCAAAAATTGACATTAAGGTGAGACAGTTTGTTGAGTGGTGATCACAGTAAGTTGGATTTAGTTAAAGGTTGCATATATCAGCCAGTAACTCCTGGACGTTTCTTTTATTGTGTATTAGATATCTTTATTGGAGAAGCCTCCTAAAAACCCTCGAGTGATGAATCTCAGAGAAGTGGAAGAAGACATGCAGACTCTGTACATCAATGCTGCTGTAGACACTTTTGAGTTCATGGCCACTACCTCAGATGGCGGCACTGTGGAGGGGGTGCTTCGATACCACCCCTTCCTCTATGACAGGGAGACCTACCCTAAAGATCCATACATAGGCCAAGGTAACGAGTAGGGCTGGGCAATATTAGCAAAAAAAAATTAATCACAATTGTGGTATTTAGCCGATAACGATTAATTTGACGATTAATCCCCTGGAGTCCCTAGACACCCTTATGTCCTGGTCACATGACCAATTTAGTGGGAAAGATTTGCTCTTCATAAAAATCTGTTCCAAATTGTGTTGAAATTACAGACTTCAGACTATACATCAAATTTTAAATTGTGTTGATAGATAAATAAATTACAGAACTTTTTTTAACGTTCATCATATCTGTAGCAGAGAGGAGCACCGAGCAGACTCTGCCTGGTGATTCAACACATTCTGCTGGCTTCTTCTTTAGATTGTTCTTTTTTTTCATGTACAGTGCCCTCAGACAACATATGTTGTGACCTGGCGCTATATAAATAAACTGAATTGAATTGAATTAATCATATTAATCGTCAAGTGCCAAAAAATAATCGATAAATGTTTTTCTGATGATTGATTGCACGCGATATGATTATGCCCAACCCTAGTAACAAGCTCTGAAACTTGGTTCGGTTTATGAAAAGTCAAGTCAAGTATTACATTCAAAGTGGCTGTGGTTCTGTTTTTCAGCTCCTGTTGAAGATGATGATTATGAAAATGAGTCTGGCAGCTTGAATCAAGCCAGAGGAAAAAGGGACATCTTTGAATGTTTCTGGAATGGACGGCTCATCCCTTACACCACAGTTTCTGAGTAAAGGCTTTCTTATGAGTTAATGATGAGGGGTGGTTTTGTTTTATGTCTATTTCATTAAGTTTAACACTGATCAGTAAACATAGACAGTGTTTTTTGTTGGGTTTCAGGTGTTCTTTGCCATGTTTTTCTCTTACTTTTCTTAGTCAAGCCTTTAGATACTGACAGTTTTTTATCATTTTGATGCTTCGCTTTATTGAAATACACTTTGTCTTAACTAAGGTAGACCGGAATCTATCTTTCTCATACTGCGGTATTATCTTCAGAAAATAACTTAAGGTTATACATATGAATGGTCTGTGGCCTGTTAAGTAATTATTAAATAACGTCCAAGTATGTCTTTTTGGGTTTTTAACTACACTGACTCTTACCATGGTTGTATCCACACTACTGCACACCTTTAGTCAGTTTTTTTGTCAATAACTATTGTTATTCTGTCATACCGCCCAAGCCTAGTCAAAACAGTGTTCATATCTAATATAAGAGTTGGCGGTACTATTACCCGACTATTCGATCACTTATCAAAGTGTCCCTGGGCAACTTCCACTGGCTCTGATGTGTGTCCCATCAGTGTATGAATGTGATTTAACTACACATTCTCACTCCCAAGTCGTCACATATTGACGCTTAAGGTAAGGTACCCTCTGCGTCTTATTTTGACGCATCAGGTACCCCCCTCGCGTCAGTCCTTGACGCCCGCGGCTTTTCCGCGTTGCGCCACCAGGGGTCTTTGGGTCGAGGGTCTGAGGTTAACATGAGGGATCAGGATTAATGGTTAAGTTTAGGTACTGGGATCAGGGGTAGGATGTCCATGGTGAATATTAGGTTATTTCAGGCTTTGGAACATGTTTACGTGAATTTCCTACATTTTCTAAAAATGGTTAATTTTAGGTACTAGGGTCAGGGACAGGATGTCTAAAGTGAACAAAGGTAATTTCAGGCTTCGAAACGGTAGTTTTTGCGCATTTTCTACTCTTTCCGAAAATATGACAACAGATTTCGCCCCATCTCGTCAGTAACTGACGTGACGGGGGTACCCGGCACGTCAAAATCGGACGTAGAGGGAACCTTGSMAAAGCGTCAATATGTGACGACTTGGGAGTGAGAATGGGTTGGATTTAATCACTGAGTCGTCTACATCTAATAATCTGTCTAGCTTTGTATAAAGACGTAGAGTGCTGTGTGAATATGTAAATGAGGACACAGATTGTAGTGTAAAGAATTTTGATTATCCTGGAAGAGCGCTGTATACAGTATGTACAGTCCGTTTACCATTTAGTAACTGTAAAAAGGTCCCTTATCCCTATGAACATCATAAGTACAAGTAGAAGTTTTGGCTTTTTGCTAATCTGATATATTCATGTGCCAAAGAGAAAATATGTGAACAGTTATCTAAAATAATCTGTTGCTGAAGAATAATTCAAGAAATCTTATGGAGGCATTTTCAAACAATTTACAAGATATTATTTTACAGTAGAGATAGTTACTTCCAAACAAGCTGAAAAGAAGTTACTAAATTTCTCAGGTTTCGGATGTAAAACCCCAAGATGAAGTCATGTCATAATATTTTCTCTGAAATAAAATGTGTGCTTGTATCTATTTTAGAAAGAGAAACATAAAATAGGATCACTTGATCTAATATTCATCTAATATTCTTAATCTTTCCTTTTTGATCCAGGTTTGACTGGTGCTCTCGACCTGTGAAAAGTACATTACCAGCAGAGTGTTACAGTCGGTTTTCTGGGGTGCTTTTCACTGATGACAAATTCCTGGTCAATGCTAACAAACTGAAGTTTATGAATCTGGAGATGAAACTGAAGAGCAAAGACACTATATTCACTCCTGATGCTAACGTTCAGGTGATTATTGATTCATGACAGGAACACAATGGAGGCAGTTTATCACAGAGTTAATCAATGATAAAAATATATTGCATTTTGTAAAGTTTTGTACATTTTTTTTCTGCGTACTTTGCAGAAAACATCAAAAAGAGGAAACATCCAGAAAGAGTTCACTCAATGGCTTCAGAACTGTCATGAAAAATTTGACAAGCAGGTGAAGTTTCTTGGATACATTGACACAATAACACGGAAAGATGTGGCAATCAAGAAACAGCATCCCTGGGCAACATTCTCCTCCATTGAGTTGGATGGAAAACAGTACAAAGCAGGACAATTGGTAAGAATTTTTTTTGATACAATAGATTTGTATTTTTGTTATTCTTAAATCCAAATTCTTCGTGTTTTTTTATGCAGGTAAAGTCTCAGAAAACACAGCCAGTTCTTTACGGCAGTGTTGTTCGATTTATGCTGTACGGAAATCACGATTGTAACGTCTACGCCACAGGAGGACAAGTGGAAATCAAACGTGTAAGTGAGGAAACACTGGAATGATAAAATAATAAAAACTCCAACATCCATTATCTCCTTTTTAAATCATTTTTTATTTAGTTTATCTGGTAAATCAATTTTAAACCAAACATCAGAAACCTGTATTTCTTAATTATTATTATTTAAAATTTTCTGTTTTGATTAAATTTGCTTGCATTGTGAGTCTCAAACTAAACAGCCAATTTATTTTGTAGGAGCCTGGAGCACTTTATGACAATTTCACCAGGATCATACCCATTTCAAAGATCGACAGGAACGTCACTGATGAAAACATCAAGAAAAATATCGAGAGTGATCTTGACAAGTAAGTAAACAATCACAAAAATGTAATTTATCTAGGTTTTTATGTCTTTTAATGTGCTGTAGTTGTAATAAACTTCACTTTGTCTTGTATTTGAAAGTTGTTTTTAGTTTGATGACACTTGTTATTTTAACTAAACTAAGCCAAACTAAATGTTTTCAGGGTTCCAGAAAAGCTAAAGGTGGAGTGGCCAGAGAATAACATTTTCTCTCAAAATGCTTCTCATCCTGCTGGGACTCCTTTGGGTAAAGTGTTGAATTTTTTGCATTTCTTCTACAATTTATCAATTTTCATTCCAATGTCTTCAGTCTACATTAGAATGTGAATATTAAAAATGTCAAAAATAGTTCCTGGAGAAACTATAAGGGGGCTTGTCTCTTGGTGCAGGATTATTTTCAACATGGTTTTGGGGATTTCTCTTGGCTACCACCTCACCAAATTTCAGCTCAATATGGGTAAAAATAGCCAGGTTATGGTCAGTTTTACATTTTAGCTATGGTGGCCATCTTTGATTTTTGGACTGGATTCTGAAAGTGATGAAAATTGTTCTCCGCTACCACTACACCAAATTTGAAACCATTTGTCCCACAGAAACAACAGAAATATTAACTGAAAGAAGACAAAAATGCTTATGTTTTGATGTATAATTTGTCCGTGTATCAGAAACATTGTGGTTGTAGGAAGAAGTTGTTCACTGAGAAATCACTTCCAGTTCACAGACCTCTCCACTCTAGGTCATGTGACTTTAGAATGGCTTTTTTTTTTTTTTGCAATTTACGTCATCAGGGTAGCTCAAAACTTAAAAAAAATTAATAAATAGGGACTGAGGTGGATGTTCTTAATGAACATTTGTGTGGGTACTCTTTGCTGTTCGGCTGCATTAAAGCTGATGGAAGAATAAAAAGTTAGAAAGTATAGAGATCCTTTTCTGAGGTGGATAATAATATAGTAGGTGCAGCTGTTTAAATGAATGGAGGTAGAACTGCTTTCTTAATCATTTGAATTGACATGCCCTAATTATTATTTATGTAAAAGTTCAAGGGTGTTTATTTCCATGTGTTTCACATTTTTATAGGGCCTCTCAAAGTTGAAATCCTTAACAGGAAGGGACTCTCAACCTCATCCAGGATCAATACAGGGGGGCAAGGGTCAGGAATGAGACTGAGCATTCTCCTCAGAGTAGTCCATCACGGTAAGGTCATTGAAATTTCAAAAATGCATTGGGTCATTTTCAGGGCTCTCAAGTCTCACGCATTGACCATGAGACACGCATTTCAGGACGTGCACACGCCACACTTGGCATTTCTCRCGCTAAAACACACACACGCACAAATGCCCGCACACACACACTTTTTRAAAACGAACGAATGAGCAGCTCAATGTTTATGTCTCTGGCTGGACACTCACTCTGCCTAAAAAGATCTGTGTCTGCCTATTTTTGTGTTTTTATTCCTGCCTTGGGGGTCCTGTAAGCTGCATCAGAGCTGATCACTCCTGTCAATCACGTGTCCGTGCTGCGCTTTGTTATAAAAATCTGCAGCAGCGTGAGATGAGACCCCAGCTCAGACCCAACCTTTCTACCTGTTGCGCACGAATAATATTTTTATCATAGTTTAAAAAACTCTGTTCTCACGASGATGCACTGCGTGTGCGTCACATCGCCTGCAAACAGCTGGATCAGCRTCAGAGCCATGTTTCATAAAGGGATAACCCAGCTATTTTTAAAGCAGGGCTGCAGGTCAAAATTTATAACAAAGACCTCACATGATGTTAGTGCTTGGAGTAAGGTGTTTTTTAATAGTGGCAGATATACTATTTTTTTTCTTCTTTTTGCCCCTCTTTCATTCAATAATTGATTTACTTTGATTTTTTTAAAGGTCTTTGTTGTTTTWAAGAATTAAATAAATAAATACTCTCAGCTGCAAATGACTTCAGAGATTAAAATGACAGTAAATTATTTTAAAACAGCATGGGTTTTATGAGGGGGTCCCTGGAAAAATGTCTCCCTTGTAAGAGGTCCCCAGACCCAAAAAGTTTGAGAACCCCTTCCCCTTGACCTATAGAATACTCACCAAGTGTTTACTTATATAGGTAAAAAKATATTTAATAGCCTGTTCAAAYACACCAGAATGCAGGAAATGGCATCTACTTCATTCAAAATGTTGACCCCCACCAGAGTGATTTTACACACAGTTTTCTCCTACATTAAATACCATACAGCCCTGATCACAATTGTTGGCAAAAAATCAAATAWGCAAATTGGACGATGACGTTATTTAGCAACTTTTAGGAYGCCTAAAGCAACTTTTCTTACTGAGGAGTTGGCAACAGTGTTCAGCGGCTCTAAATCTCACTCCAAGATCTGATCAGAACTTGAGAGTCCTGGTCATATGCTAATTTGACTTGGCTAATGTTTATTAAGCTTATGGTTGTATTTAGCTTTTTCAGCTTGACTTAGCATATTTTAGTCTTTTATTTTAACTTGATTTGTCTTAGGAATAATTTCCTTAGCATATTTTGGTCTAGCTTAGCTTATATTTATCTTTTACTTAGCCTTTTATAAAATCTTAAATGAGCTTATTTAAGCCTGGCTTAGTTTATATGTACTTATGTTAGTTTTCATTTAGCCCAGGGGTTCTCATTTCAACCCATAAATGCCATGGG